TGTTGGGGGATGCGCAAAAGGTCCAAAGACATGGGAGGACCATTGCTTGGAACATGATGCTAATCACAGGAAATGGCAAAAGTTATGTGCAGTTAGAGGGTTCCAAATATTTTTCTACCTTTGGGCACCCTTGATTGCATCTGGGAGCCAGTCCCAACTTGAGTCCGCCTCCCCAACCCGGGTGCACTGACGACTGAATGGTGCACAGAAGTCACAAGTTTAGTCTGACGACCGGCCGGAATTTGTGGGGCAAATTTCAAGATCTTCGGGCTGCCAGCTGTCGTTGACCGCCACTTGATGTGCTTCGCTGCAGGGTTACCCCTACCAGGTTTCTGGCCTTGCAGAAGCTTTGAAGAAACCATACGGGTCTGTCTTTGTTTAGGGTGCCGCCTTTTTGGGACGTTTTGAAGGGAAACCAACGGAAAGCCACCTCCTTTCCTTGTTCTTCTGGTTTTTGTTTTCTTCCTCTATGTTTTTTTTTGGGGGGGAGGGGCGGGGTCCCTAGACACACCGATGTGTTTAGACATGTTTACACATACCTTGTCGGGCAAGTTAGGTTTTGTTGTCAGCCTCGACATCCGATTCCCCTTGATGTTTCCGAGCAAAGCAGCAATCTTTACCATGTGAGTCCGGGGGCATACTGTGCTGATTTTGGGGGAAGGGGGGATCCTTCTCCCCCAACAAACACCAATCGTGCTGGAAAGCACAGGGCAACCGAGTTAGCGAGAAGTGACAGCCACACGGGTTTCAGGGCCGGAAAGTCTCGAAAGCTTGCAGGTCAGCCAAGGAAAATGGGCCCAGATTCTTGCACTGTTGCGGAAGGTGTTCTGTCATAGTGACTTCGTTTCCCGTTGAACCAGCCCTGAAAAGGTGTCCCCCTCTGAAGTCTGTGTGTGTGTGTGTCTTGTAAGGGACTCAAAAACATGGTTAGCTTCCTTTTAACTTCCCTTGAAACCACTCCAGCGGCAGCACGCCTCACACCCATTTCTTGGCAAAGGTGAGCGCCAATAGGCTCCCATAGCATCCCAGACCGAATCCGGTGCCCTGTGTCCATTGTGCAGAGATTCCTTGAAATCAGCCCTGCAAAGACCTCTTAGGTGAAAGGGGGGGAGTACAAGGGGGGTTTAAAATCTATCATGTTTTTTGTTTGAGGCACTGCAAAATGGGGGCTCGAAGAAAGCGTCCCTTTCCGAAAAGAAAAGGAGTGCCTGTTTCCCCCAATTGAAATCCCCACCCCACCCCATGTCACACCCCCACTCCACGCACCCCACCCCACCCCACCCCATGTCACACCCCCACTCCACGCACCCCACCCCACCCTACCCCATGTCACACGCCTCCAATTCCATGGCGAGGTCCAAGTACGGCGCCAGCTCGTGGAGTGCCACTCAGGCGCAAGGACCGAAGCTTTTTTTGAGTTGGCCGTCCGACTGGACAATTTGCTTTTTCGCCGATGGGCAGCAGCTGGGATCGGAGGAATTCACCAAGTAAACCCAAAGGTGCGGCCCTCGTGGGACGATTTTGACAAAATCCACATCTCCCTTCAACTCAACTACCACGAATGTGCTTTGGCTGGCAAAGAAAGTTCTGGGGTTAGGTGCCTGGTGTTGAAAGGCAATCCTGAGTTGCTAAAGGATATGGATGGAAGAGGGAAGGCAAGCGGGCTGAGAGGTTCTGTTTCCTTTGCACCCCGGTCGCTAGCTTAGCAGACACGTCTGATCTGGCCATGAGGGGAGGATTTCTGCTGGGTCCAGGAAGCCTAGTTGGAGTGACTTGCCAACTTATCGGATGGATTCCCAATCAACCAGGTGGATCTTTATCCAGATGCCTTATCCAGGCCCCCCCCCCCGTAAAACTCAAGGATCCGCTCGCTCCAATTCTGGGACATCCCTCTATCAGTCAACTATGTTATTCATCCTGAAATCCCATCATTGCCGCATTTCCTTTGCCACGATCTTTTGGTTTCACACATCTGCGACGTTCCCGTGGAATGAGAGAAGGCCAACTCGAGGACCACCGTGCGCTGCCTCGAGCCATTGTACGGCACGCTGCCCAACGGCAGGCGGCGGGAGGAATTGTGCGTCGCTGTTTGCTTTGTGTTCCTCTCGGTTTGGCTTGCTCTTGTGTTGAAATAAACCCAATTTAATTGGGTAGCGTGCAGCATATACAAAGAACATGACTTGATTTGCTTTCAAAGGCAAATCATTGACACAAGAACCTGAATCGTGATTTTTGGGCCCTTTGTGCAACTAGCAATGGGCTTGTCTCAAAATAACCCGGTTTCTCACTAAAAGCCCAACCCAAACAAGCTCACCGACAAGACATATTTGGCGATTTCCTGTGGTTGTTTTGTTTTGCAACATGCTACACTCGTGCGCTTGAGGTGCTAGATCAACGTCTTTTCCGGAGCGACACAGGTATCACTGCCCGGCAAATTAACATCCAGCCCCCACCCCCCACCCCCCCCTGCCCCAAAGAAAAAGGGGGCCCAAGAGGCATT